TTTCATATGATTACATTTACATGAGGTTCTCAGAGTAGCCAAAATCATAAAGATAGAAAGTAGAATGGTGGTGGCCAGGGACTGGATGGGGAGGAGAATGGAGAGTTATTGTTCAATAGGTATAGAGCTTCAGAGTCACAAGATGAAAAGAGTTATAGGGATAGATGGTGGTGATGGCTGCACAACAATGTTAATGTATTTAATAACGCTGAGCTGTACGCTTAAAAATGGATAAGACGGTAAATTTATGTGTATTTTAACACAATAAAAGAAAAGAAAAAAAATCTCAGCAGAATTTTCCAGGGAACTTGATAAGCTGAATCTAAAACTTACATGGACAAAGCTTAGTATAGCTAAAGCACTGTTGAAAAAGAATAAAAAGGACTTGCCCTACCAGATAATGGACTTATTATAAAGTGACAGTGATTAAAACTGTATGATATTGGCATAAAGATAAACAAACTGACCAGCAGAACAGAATAGAACCCAAAACAGACCAATGCACACATGGTAGATTTATGGAGGAAGTGGGGACTATTCAAGAAACCGAACTAGAAAAAATGACTCTCCATATGGAAAAAAATGAAATTGGATTCCCAAAAATCACCCACAGATTAACTAAGGACTTAAATGCAAAAAGCAAAACTTTAAATCTTTTAGTAGAAACATAGGTAGTTGTTCTGACCTTGGGTGAGATGTTTCATTAACAAGCTATAAAAAGCACGAACCATAAAAGACAAAACTGATAAATTTAAGAACTACTATTGGTCAAAAGAATTGTTACACAAAGCGTGGCTCGTTTTTTCCAACTGGGAGAAGACATTTGCAACATACATAAAGAACTTTTACCAAACCAATATGGAAGGACAAGTAACCAAGTAGAAAAACGGGCAAACGACATGATCAGGTATTACACAGAAAAAGAAATATATATGGCTAATAAACGTGTGATGAGATGCCGCACCTCATTCTTAAATCGGGAAATACAAATCAAGGCCACAATAAAATAGCATTTTACACCTGTTCCGCTGGCAAAAATCCAGAATGATAATAATGCTGAGTGTTGCAGGGTATGTGGTTCAAAAGGCTCTCTTACGCACTGTTAGTGAGAGTGCAAACCGGCACAACCACTTAAAGATAATGCTAAATTATTTTCCAAAGTTAAACATTCACATATTCTATAACCCAGCAATTCCACTCCTAGAGAAACTGTACACTAGGGTACATGAATGAGAATAAAAATGTTTAAAGTAGCACTGTTTATGATTATCAAAAAACTGGAAACAACCCAAATGCTCACTAATAGAAGGAAGTGTGTTACATTCATATAATGGAACAGCAGACTGCAGAGAAAAGGAATGAATTACAACTCAGGATGACGTGTGTGAATTTCAGTTGCATCAAATGAGTAAGCCCTGAACAACTACACACAGCATGATACTTATAAAGTGTAAAAACACTGTATCTCATTTTTAAAAAGCAAGGGAATGATAAACACAAAATTTAGGAGGGTTCCTCTCAGAGGGGGAGGTACAAGCTAGGGAAGTCCACAGAGGTGGTTAAGTTATTGCCCTTGTTCTTATTCTTCCAAAAAAAACTGACAGGGTAGAAGGTTTCCTTAGGAATTCATAACATTATTAAAATATATAAATTGGTATGAATAAAGTAAAACAGGCCAGGCATGGACCAACGATGAGACAATCTCATGAACCAAGGATTATGATTTAATCTAATTCCAGGTAACTAGAGTCCATCAAAAATAAAACAAAAACTTCACCCCTTTTCAAAAACCCTCAACGGCTCCCCATTGCATTAAGCCCCTCATGGGGTTTAAGATGTGAGATCTAGATGCTGCCTATTTCATCATTTCTTCAACATAATAGAAGGAAGGGAGGAAGGGAAACAACAGAAAAGGAAAAGGCCGCAGGACTGAGTGATTCTTAGCAAAGCAACACGTCTCACAAGAACAACTCATTCTTGAAGTCAGGATCCAAAACAAATGCTCTGCAAACTCCTCCAACACTATCATATGACTATGTGTTTAGTTCCCTTTATTCATATTTCTTTTGGAAAATCTCAAACTTTCAATATCCAACATGCTAGCCGTGTGTGGCTATTTAAATTAATTAAAATGTAATAAAGTTACAAATTCAATTCCTTGGTCACACTAGCCACATGTCAAGTGCTCAAGGCTACCCATAGCCACACTGGCCACTGTACAGATAGAGAGCATCTCCATCACTTGGTTTCACCCCATCTCAGCTGAAAAGAAGGGGCAGAGGAACCTGCACACACACAAGCCAGGCCGGAGGAGGGGATCACAGAGGACTGCAGACAGCTAAGCCTGAGCGGCTGACCTACTGCCACGGGGGGTTCTGCAGCACCAGGCCCAAGGCTGACAGCGTTCCAGGCAGGGGCCCGAAGTGATCAGGACAGCAGGCTCAGGGAAACCTGCAACCCTTGCACTCTACCCCCGGGTGGGTCCCTCGAAACCCTCGCGGGGAGGGTAGGGACATGCATCTGTGAACATCCCAGCTCTGACTGCTGTTCCCTCCCCTCTTCCTCACTGGCACCACCTGCCCTGCCCTTCAGGGCGGTTTTGCTCTGCAGTACCTCTGGGGAAACCAAGGGAGCTAGCCTGAGATGTCAGTGTTAGCAAGCATAGCACCACAGGAATGCAGGCACTGCAGTCGCCATTCGTTTTGGAGCACTGGGGGATGGAGGGGTAGTCTTCCCCCCCCCATCAACCCACGCCCTTGGAGGCAGGAGGTAAATCCTCTGAAGCCGGTCACTGTAGCCGGAGCCTTGTCTTAACTGGCATCTATGCACTGATCGACATTTGCCCACCCCAAGCTATCGGCCAGGACCAGTCACCATGGACCATCACAGGCCCTTGAAGTGGCCGATGCACAGGTGAGGAAACTGAGGCCCAGGTAGGGAAGGCACCTGCCCAAGTTCACATGGCCAGGCAGTGGCAGAATGGAAACAGGGCTGCCAACTTCCCTGGCTCATGTTCTTCCACTGTGCAAGGTGGAGGCTTCTGTGGAGACCTCTGCGTCCTCACATCTGTGGTCAGTCATCCTTCTCGGACCAGCAGCGATCCCCACCCCTTCTGCTCTGCCACAGGCCCTGGCACGGAGCACAGGGATTTAAGGTGGAACCTGTGCCAGGGGCAGAGGCAGTGGCCTGAACAAGCGGGCTGGGCCTCGCGGGCAGCTGAGTTCGGCAGATTCAGCCCTTTCCTGGAACCCAGTCTGCCCTTCAGCTCTGAGAAGCTGCCTGGAACAGGGGGTCAGCTCCCCTGGGCCAGCTTGTCCAGCCCAGGAATGATGGCAGGATCCCAAGTCAAGTGACCAGTGGTGGCTGGCGGGAGCTGGCCACAGGGAAGGAGGGAGGAGAGGGCTGTCAGGGGTCCCTGGGTCCCTCCTAAGGGCTCCCACAGCACCTGGGCTCCCTAGATGGCCAGCTCCAGTGGCTGCTTCTGTCAATGGGCTGTGGGTCCTCGACCACAGGGCCTGCAGCTCATTCACCTTTGTGCCCCCAGCACAGTACAGGCACATAAGGCTGCACTCCAGAGAACATTCACTGAACCAGCAAATGAGCCAGAGAGCTGAGGGTTGGGAGAGCCCACTCAGAACAGCGGGGATGGGGGTGGGGCTCAGCAATCAAGAACATGGAATCTTATTTTCCTCTGATTTCATCATTTATAATTACACGAGCAAAGGTCTCTCTCTGCCTGACCTTGGGGCTAGAATTAGTGCACAGCAAGCGGCTCCCAGGGCCGCCCCTTACAGAGCATTTGCCACGTGCTGGGCATTCCCTTGTCATCTTCCTCACCAGGTCAACCCTATAAAGTAAGTACTATCTCTTCCCGGAGGCTTAGGACGGATTTTAAAAGTTGTCCAAAAGTATGCTGCTAGTAAGTGGCACAGCGGAGACTCACAGGCGGGTATGTCCTATCTCAGAGAGGGTACTTTGGACCACTCTTCCTTCATCCAGCAAATATCAGTGAGCACCAACTATGTGTCAGGCACGTTCCCAGGTGCTGTGAACAAAACCTGGCCAGCTCCCTGAGAGCTGTCACAATAGTTAATGGAGGAGACAGACAATACAAAGAAAAAATAAACATACAACCAAACAACGTAACGTCAGGATGAGACAAAAGCCATGAAGAAAAATAAGGCAGGCAAAGGGGACAGAGTACGAGTCGTCACACTTTTTCTGCAAAAGCCCAGATAGTAAATATTTTTGGCTTTGCTGGTGGCCATGTGGTCTTCATTGCAACTATTCAGCCATGAGAAATACGCAAATGACTGGGTGTGGCTATGTTCCAATAAAACTTTAAAAATAGACAGTGAATTTAGGATTTCATTTAATTTTCATGTGTCACAAAATGTTATTCTTCTGATTTTTTTTTCAACCATTTAGAAACATAAAACTATTCTTAGTTTGCAGGCCACTCAAAAACAGGTGACGGCCCAGATTAGGCCTGTGGGCTGTAGCTTGCCGACTCCTGGGACAGAGAGTGGCTGGGGTGTGTTATGTGGGGATGTACCTTAGACGGAGTGGTCAAGGAGGCCTCCTCAGGGAGATGATATTGAGCAGAGACCTGAATGAGGCAGGCAGTGGGCCCCGTGCTCCCAGCGAAGGGCCCGGCAGTGTGACTGGAGCAGGGGGGAGGGAGGGAGGGAGGGAGCAGGGCAGGTGAGAGGTGGAGCAGGTCAACAGGCGCCAGATCACATGGACCTCCGGGCCCTGGTGAGGACTCTGGTCTTTGTGATGGTAAGCCACTGGGCTTAGCTTTGTGTCCTTGGGCAAGTTATTAGACTTCTCTGTGCCTCATTTCTTAACCAATGGGAATAATAATAGCATCTGTCTTGGGGCAGTAGGACTGAGGGAGCATAATGCTCTAGATGAATGTTAGCTGCGATATTAACACTGGAGTCCAGCTGGATGAGGTAGGAGCTGGGAGAAGTGGTGACAACTTCCGTGAAACTCACCCACAATGTCCACCACGTCTGGCCGGATGAGCGGTTCTCCACCCGTGAGCCGGATCTTGTCTACACCTTCTTTCACAAAGAGCCGTGCAAGGGTCAGAATCTCCTCCGTGGTCAGCAAGTCAGCCTTGGGGGTCAGCGGGACACCTTCCTCGGGCATGCAGTATTGACCTGAGGGGAAGGGAGGGAACATGAAGGCAGGAAATGACTACAGTAGTCAGGCTTGCAATGTCTCCAGTCCCCAACTCTCCCACCAGGCTGGAAGCTTCTCCTAAACCCCATCCAGACAGTGAGGAGAGACCACGCCAAATCTGAAGTGGAACAAACCCTGGGCCAGACTCTCTCTGGGCCTCACCTTTCTCATTCATAAAATGTTAACACCCCCTCCCCATTTGGCCTTAATATCCCTCGGTGGGGAAACTGAGGGCATGAGTTAAAGAAGATGAACTAGGATGAGAGCAGAGCCTGGCTTGAGGTAGGGGCATGCCAGGTCGCTGATTCCCTTAGCTCGAGGGGTGGCTGAATGGGCCATTGCTTCTGGCATCGTCGATCCTCCTTCATTTCATCTGGTTTTGGCCACCAGTTACCCCTCTGCGTGTGTCATGAGGTGAGGGAGGCTGGGAACTCCTCTTTGGCCTGGTAAAGCTGCTCTCCTCTGGAGCTACAAGTGTTCTCATATCCAGTATATCTATTTCAGGTTATCAAAAATCCCATTTTACAGGTTTGGAAAACTGAGGTTATATTTGCTCAGGGTGAGGTAGCAGAATGGGGTAAATGAAGTGAGCCCTGGCAGGGGAGTGGGGCACCAGCCCCTACTACCAGATCCTGTGGTACAGTTTTATCAACGATTGGGTCAAGATCTGTTAGAGGGCCATTTAGTCAAATTAGTGAAGGGTCCAAAATTGGTCTTTTAAGATAGAACAGAATAGGTGAATATATCAGAACATCAGTACCGCATGTAATAGGTATTATTTGCTTAAACATTTACTATAAACAAACACATGTATTTATTGGACCATGAAGTAAATGTATTACTTATTGTGAGCTACAGCGGAAGGAAGGAAGGGAGGGAGGGAGGAAGGAAGGAGGGAGCGGGGAGGAGCAAAGACACTTTGGAAGTCCCCCAGCAGTGGATCCGCCCCAGAGCCCTCCACATGGGATTATGAAATGACTACTCTGTCAGCCTGGCCCCAGACGACTTCTGTCACGAGACTGGGGTGTTAGCCACGGGCACTGCTGTGTAGTTTAGAGTGTCCAGCACCCCACACCCACGGGGGCTATGTCCTGAACTATGGGAACTGCAGGGAAACAGGGGGGAGAAAGAGTCCCGAAGAGTGAGAGATCCAGGTCCTATCTTAATCCTAAATCCAACAGAAATTCTGTTTTTAAATCTAATCCCAAGTAGAACCCAGCTTCCAGGATCATAAAATTCAACCTTTACCCCTGTCTTGCCCCTGAACCCCGTCTGGCAAGCAAGGAAGAAGTGGGGTGGAGACGTTTGAGAAAGAGGAATTGGCAGGATTGCGAAGGATTCCTGGGTGTGGGGAGGTTTCAGAAGCCGTTTCAGCAGATGGACAGGAGCCCAGAGAGGGCCCAGGGAGGTGACTCACATCGGAGGTTGCACTTCTCCGTGAGGGAGATCCGCAGGTAGCTGTGTTGCCGGCCGAAGCTGTCGGTGAGGAAGGCAGAGAAGGGGGCTGCGTGCTCCCTCAGGAACTGCCTCCGCCTGGACAGCTCCTGCAATGCCAGGGACGGGGAGATGTGGGCCTCTGCTCCCAGGCTGGGGGACAGGAGCGAGGAGAGCCCATCTGGGGAGACAGTCCCCTCCATCAACCGCCCCTCTCTCATCTCTGACATCTGTACAGCACTTCCCACCTTGCCATCCCTGTGGGCTCCGCAGTCCTGGGGGAGCTGAGATTCTCCCTCTCATTCGCAGATTGGGAAACAGGCCTGAAGGACCTGCCCTCAAAACCCCAACACTCAGCCCTGGGGCTCAGGACCTCTGTAGGCACGTAGCTGCCTGCCAGCCAGGCAGCAAGGCAGAGGAAAGGGCACTAACCTCTCCCAGCCCCCACCTCCTCTCCCTCAAAGGAAGCCTGTCCAGGAAGAAGCATCTCCAATACCTCTTGGACGGGTCAGGGCGAGAGAATGTGCCACTCCACACCTGGCAACCATGCCAACTGGCAACCACGTCCAGAAAGGAGAGAGGCAGTGGGTAACTGAGAGGGATGGTGGCCTGGGCCACCGCGGCTGTGCTGCCTGGGACATGGTGAGTCACCTCTCCAACCCAGGCCTCCCGTTCCTTACCTTTGCAACAGGAGACAGAACAAGCTCAAAGCAAAATCACTAACTGCGGAGGCTGGGTGTCAACAAGCTGCCTCCCCCTTAACTACCCCCCTGTTGGTTGGGCTCCCTGGGGCCTCCCCACTGCCTAGGAGGACCCCACAGGCCAAGCCATGAGGAGCAGCTGAGAGCTACACCTGGCCAGGGAAGGTATATCCATGGGAGGGCCCCCCGAATGCAGAAGGCATCTGGGCAAGGACAGCACAACGAGGGACACCTGCAGAAGGACTGAGGCCACCAGCCTCAGGAAGGCAGAGTGGAGGGGCCAGGATGACCATCCCGCTAAACCCACGCAGAGACTGTTCTAGTACTTATCCTTCGCCCTACCCATTGCTAGAAGGAAGGATTATGCACCCATCATCTGGCGCCAAAGCAGGAGGAACTTGCTGGAGGCTCCCTGCAAGGCCCAAACTCGTCCTGGGGAGAGAGGCGGCAGCCAACCTCACCCTTTCCAAGTCTGAGCTAGTCTGATCTCTCTCCTCCTCGAGAGCCAACCCTGGGTCGTGACAGATGCTGACGAGATAATTGCTCCATAGAAGTAACATCTGCAAAGCATCTTAATGGTTCCAAAGAATGTTCTCTTTTTAATTCCCACACCTACACCGTAAGGGATTATTATAACTAAGGCTCGGATGGGGTCCAAAAACATCCTTGGCAGAGCCAGGATTCAAATTATTCAAATTCAGGTCTTCTGATTCTAAGTTCTAAATTCTTTCCTCTATTTGCACAGGGTGAGTCCAAGAAGGTAGAGGAGACAGCACACAGGGTGGGGAGAAGTCATTTCTCTAGAATCTTTAGAACAGAGAAATCATGACCACAGCAGTCTACGGACAGGGCTCTGGATTGGGGGCAAGAACTCCTGGTTTCCGGGCCAGCTATGACCTGACATACTGAGAAAGTTCCCTTACTCCTCCAGGACAGTTTTCTCAGGTGTAAGATAAGAACACGGTTATGGATAAGGTTGTGGCTATGGTAGGGGATGGGGGGCAGTCAGGATGCTGGTAGGTAAACACCCAGGATTATTATGATCCTGTAATCTAAGACAGCAGAAGGCCTCAGGCCCTCCTGAGGTCCAGGGTAACTGTCCACCTGCACTCAGGAGGAAGAAACATTTACTTCAGTGAGCTCCTCAGCCCTAGCAATGCCTTAGAACCATCTGGGAAGCTAAGGACAAAAATTCCACGGGAGAACAACTGAATTCGGATCTTGTTTTTATTCGGCGCTTGTAATTTTAATATCTCCTGGTGATTCTAATATACAGCCAACAGCAAGGGCCACTGATTGACTCAGGAGACAGAAGGGATATGAGCATGTACGGGGGTGCTTCCATGATTTTCCTGGGTCCATAAAACTGATCTCATTCTGCCCACCACACGACCAGTTTCCCACGTCCTCGGAGAAACCCTGCTCACAGTCCCATGAAAAGAAACCAGAAGTCACTTCTCTGACCTGTTTATAGCAGACTATAATCATAACAGTAACTTCCTCCCTCCCTACGCACCCACCGCCTTTCCACTGGTACTCTTGGGGATGGGGCAGGGGACACTCCAGAGTCAAGAGCCCCATCGACCACCAGAGTCCAGGAGATCTGACACCTGGGAATCTGGATTTATGGCAGAGTTGTACCCTCTTCTCCATCAATAGCTATTGGCAATTCGGTAATTAGTTAGTCACCCTAGATCCCACCTCCTCACTTGCCAAGATGCCCCCCTCACCCTAATCTTAACATACTAGGGGAGCTGGTGAGGAAGGAGCCCAAATAAATCCAGGAATTGGGAGCGAGTGAGAGGAATAAGGACTATGACTCAGCAGAAACCAGAGAGCAAGCAGTGTAATGGGACAATTAAGAGTGGAGTTAGGCATGGCGGGGGAAGAGGCAGGCCAGGTTTCACTTTTAAAACATGCAGTAATCTTATCCAGCTTCATTCAGACTCTGTACTTCCGGCCAGTACCTGACCCAGCCTCCTACACACACATTCTCACCCTGCTAGGCTTGCAAATGCCTCACTTGGATATTAACAAGCCTCATCCCTACCTCTTCTCTCCTCCAACACTGCATGTCCTACTTTCTTTCTTCATTTTTTTTTTCCCCCTTTCCTTTAAACCCCATGGAGGCAAAAAATACCAGCACCAGTCAAAAGAGCCTGGCCCCCAGAGAGAATTACCAGGCAGGGTTGACAGCGATGCCTCACCCAGGAACAGATGGGACATGTCAGAAGTGATAGAAGGCCTTTAGGTGCTCATATTCCCAGGGCCCCAGCCTGGACCAGGCTGCTCCCCCTGTGTGGAAGCCTTCCCGCCTGACTCGGTATCCCAGGGTCTACACAGTATGTCTTAGCAAGTGTCGAACCCCTGTGTCAATGAACAAATAGGCTGGTCCCTAGTCCAAAGAGAAAAGCAGTATGTGCAAAACCTAGTTACACTGGGGTCATCGTTCATCTCCAGGCTGGTCTCTACTTTCAAAATGGTTTGGCCTACTGCAGGGGTTCTCAACACCGGCTACACTTCTCCATCACCTGAAGAGCTTCTAAGAAGCACTGATGCCAGAGCCCCACCCTGAAGATTCTCACTCAACTGCTGTGGAATGGGGCCCTGGCTTTGTTTTTGGGGTTTTTTTTTTTAAGTGCCTCAACTTTTTACTCTGCAGCTCAGGATGAGAACCACTGGCCCAGCCACAGCAGGATCAGGAGCTATTTTAGCCCGGGGAGAGCTGCTGCGGTTCTCAGCGTAGGCTTTGAGAGCAGGTAAACCTGAATTACAAGCCTGGCTCTGTTACTAACTAGCTGTAGAGCAAGTCGCCAAAATTCTTTAAGCCTTAGTTTCCTCATCCATAAAGTGTGGATAATAATTCTACCTAACTCAACTAGAGGAGTTCCTGGCACATAGGAGGTATTCAATAGAGATCACTGCCATTTTCTTAATATAATTCCTACTTACATATATTCATTCATTAAACAGATATTCATGCAGGAGCACTGGCTATGTGTGCTATGACTAGTTTTCCCACTCTTGTCAGCTTCGCCAGTCCTGCATGGCCTTCCAACCCTACTTAATGGCAGATGGCCCAAGGCTGGGGTTTCAGACCTGCTGTCACACCACCCAAAGCAGGACAAGTGGGGTCTGGGCTCCCCCAGGACCACAGATACTAGTGCTAGGAACCAGGCACTGGGCAGCCTACCATATGCAACTGGTAACATCTTATCTACATACCCCATGAAGCTTGAGGTGGAGGGGAGTGGTACAAAGAAGTTAGTTTAGGGAAGGATGCTGCCCTCAAAGAACCTTCCAGAGTATTTAGTCCCTAACCTTGGGCATTTGATTTGAATGATAAGCACCAGCCCCCAAACTGCTCTAGAGTGTAAAGAGAGTAGCAGGATTACTCAGGGGTAAAAGAGCACATTTCAAACTCAAATATCAGTGGCCCCAATTTACTTGCCATTTGGGAAAATATATACCAGGGGTGACTTAAAACTAATCTATCAAATGAGAGGACCTAGTGAAGTTTCCAGCCCCAGACCTAGATCTCCCATCTCCCTCCATCCCACCCTAAGGGTGGAGTCTCTACACCTCTGGTTCCTGGCACAGACAGCCACACTTCACTGAAGGAGAGATTTTCAGGAGATGGGCAGGATGGGAGTCAAGATAATCCCCTGAAAGGTCTTCTTTCCCTCCATGTGTTACTGCCCCAGGCCAGGCCTTGCTGTCCCCTCCTACCTTCTTCTACCCCCAGTTCCTTCCTGCATGACCCGCTCTCCAACATTTGTTCTTTCTGGCCCCCTGAACAGCTGGGTGCCTTTACCCTACAGAGTCACCCTCTCCCTCACCTCTGCCCCAAAGCAGCACACCCAGGACCTGAGGCCAGCCCCCTGTTGCCCCAACAAAGCCTGCACGGAGCCTGAGAGGGAGAAAGAGGGGTGTAGCGCTTCTGGACTGGGGTAAGCCCTGCAGGGATGATTGTCTGGGCCGCCCCCGTCAGGATGGCAGGTAGCTGTGTCTCCCCCACCCACCTCCCCTTTCCACCTATAGAAGCGGCTCCACCTGTCTTTGGACCAAGCCCAAGGCTCCCTTTCCACTGTCCTCACAGCCAGCTCCCATTCCACACCTCACATCTCTCTCACACCCACTCACTGACACACAGATAACACCCAGTGGCTTTTCCCTCTGTCTCTCCAAGCACCTCCCATCCCAAACCAGACACCCCGGGCCCTGGGGGTGGGGGGGTGTGGGGATAGGCACCCTGCAGGAAGGGAACAAGGGACAGAGGTTCCAGATGCCCCACCCCTGCTCCTGCCAACTGGCAAGTCTGTGGAAGGCTGAACATACATAACTCTGGACTTGTCTCACCTCTAAGATTCTCTTCAAGACGTGCTGTGCTCTCCCCGACTGTGTAAAGATGGGCTGGTCCACCCCTCGGTTTTAATGACATGAAGAGAGGGGAAATGACAGCCCTGGGAGCCAGGTGAAATTGGAGGCAGAGCAAGGGTGAAAACTTGGGCTCCCAGTCCAGTGCTCTGTCTACTATTCCATGTGGTCCCTCTCTAGTGGGGGTTCAAACAGCCAAAAATACCCGCTGACTCCACTGCCTGCAAAGCACCATGTTAAGCACTGTGGGGAAATACCTAGGAGGCAGGGAGCACCCAGCACTCAAGGAGCAACCTGTCTGCCGAGGGTAACCCTAGTGGGGAATGTCCAAGATGGGAGATCTGTGACAAATAGCTGACAGAATGATTATCTTGAGTGTCCAGGTGGGAGGGGACTAACGGGACGCAGCACGTGCCAATGGTAGCAAGGATAATAAAAATTACAACAAACATATACATAACAGACTTACGCGTGCCAGGCTTTGTCTAAGTATATATTAACATATGTTACCTCTTGATCCCTATAACTACCCTATGAGGTAGACACTATTATTCCCATTTTACAGATGAGACCGAGGCACGGAGAGGTGAAGGAACTTGAAGTTCACACACCGAATAAATGGTAAATCCAGGCATTCTGCTCCAGAGCCCATCTTCTTACCTGCTAATTGCACCTCCCCTCACAGCATAAAGGAAAGGGTAGGGTCAGCCTCTCCCCCGTTCGCCCCACAGGTTAACTTCAATGAGTCCCCTCACCCAAAACATAGACTCTACCTACAGCACATGGTTTACTGTGAGGACTAAAGCACTTAGCACAGGTCCTCTCGTGAAAGGTACAAGATAAATCCCTTCTCCTGAATTCTTTAAAGATCTCAGCAATTTTTGCTTTCCTATTTTTCCCTCAGTGAAGTTCAGAGTTCAAGAATACTGAAAAACTTCTCCACCTCCCAGCAGTGGGGCCTGCTAACTGTAGATCCCAGAGGGCGTCAGATTTGGGAAAAGCAAGTTAGGCTGAGGCCCTCCCCCACATTGAGCAATAGTCGGGGGATGGGGGGAGGGAGCATGATCCAATGAATCCCAGGACATGAAGCCGTGTGCTAACAGATGGGAAAGAAAAACCACATTGGTCTAGAAAAGAGGTTTCACCAAATGAAACAAGACGCTTCTCCCCAAATTATTCTTTCACCACATGGGCAAAAGAACAAACCTAACACTTGTTATAACATGAATCACTCTGAGGGGTGCTGTCAACCCAACCCTAAAGAGACACCAGAATCCCTAACTTGGAAGAGCCCAGGGTCTGCTCTGTTCTGCTCTAGAATGAGGCTGAACCCTCCTAAGGGAAATGAAGATGAAACAGAAAGTCAGCCAAGGGCAGGTCACAGAGCCCTGTGACTACAGAAGTGACAACTGACTTGGTGGCACCAAGGTGACATTTTTACTGTCACACTATGAAGCAGGGTGTCATAAGAACATCTGATCTCACACAGACAACCTCCCCTGGGAGGATAGGGAGGAAAATGTTTAAGGAAGAGGTTGGGTGTGAGGCAGGGCTGGGAGGGGTACTAACATCTCATTGGACCCAAAGCCCTACCCGCCTGCTCGCCCATCTCTGGTGGTCACTCAGACCCGGAAATGGGTGGCATGGCTGGGTGGCCAGGGAGGTTTTTAAGCGAAACCCCAAAAAGCCCCGCACCCCCACCCCCGGCTGGGGTATCTGGTGAGACTGGGCAGTCTCTCTAGAGGACATCATTCCACTGCTCTCCCTACCCCCAATTAAGCACACAGAGGTCCCTCCCAGAAGCACCGGACGGGCCAGGGTGCTTCTCGGAGTAAGGGGCAGCTTGCCAGACCACCCTCTTCCGGGAAAGGTGTGGATGCAGGGAGGCTCACCTCTGCAGCATGCTGGGAGGGCTCCCCGGGGCGGGGCTGTGTCACCGGGGCCCCCGAGCTGCAGCTCCGAAAGCTGGACCTGAGGACTCGCCGCACCATCCGGGACACCGGCCGCGCCGCCATGAAGCCTGCTCCCCTGGCGAGGCTCCACGGGGTAGCCGGCTCGGAAGCGCACTAGCCGGGACTCGCTGCCCTGGGTCACAGCGGCAGGGGCGGGGCTGGGGCGGGACCCACGCAGCCAATCAGCGAGGGCGCCGCGCAGCCTTCTGGGAGTTGTAGTCTCCTCCCTCTGCTCCTTTCCTGGGCTGGGGAAGCGTAGGGCTCGGAAAGCGCAAGTTTAAACTCAACAGGAGATCTCAGTTCTTACCCTCCAGACCTCTCTGGCTGCTCTGGTCCCAGACTTAGGTCGTGGTGTGACTGGCACAAAGTGCTGTAGGCAGATGAATGGTGCATTGCCTTGGGCGCAAAATTTAAGGGGGTGCCAAAAAGGTAGCTTATCAAATAATATTTTAATGCAATATTTTAAAAAGTCAGAATCAATGCAAAAAAAATCCCATGATGAACAAAATTTCAACACTTTAGATAAAAACAAGATCCGACCCTGCATGTTTAAGATTCATTTCACTTCGTTCATGGTGGTCTAGGCCCTGGTTGTAGGATAGTCAGCTGCCTCTTTCAAGATACCCTTCTCCAATTGTGCCCCAAAAGGACATTAACAGTCTTGGCCTCTCTGTTTAAAAAAGGAGTATACGGGAAGAAGTCACAGAATGAGTGGATATCATTTCTGGAATGCTTCTGACACACCAAGCACCAGGCTAGACATCATTCAATACTTGCAATAATCCTGCAATTGATAGAATGTCAATTTTGCAACTGAGGAAACTGAGACTTAGAGAGGTTAGGTAATTTTCCCAAAGACACACAGTTGATAGGTGGCAAAACTGGGGTTTAAACTCGGGACAATCTGACTCCTAAAGTTAAGATTCAGTATATATCAGGAATTGGGGAGGGGGGAGGTGTCTTTCTCTCTCTCAAAAACAAAGATGGATGGTAATGAAGATTCATTAATGAACCTATGTACTAACAGTCATTATGCTCAAACCAGCCTATCTGTTGTATCCAAAACTCTTTTTGCCATGGAATTGCGAGAATCAAACATTGACTGGAACATACTAGCTGCCAAGTGTACATTAGGAAATGGGGATACAGTTCTCGGTCTTGAAGAATTGACAGACTAGTGCAGAGGAAAGGATAACTGACTATAGCTAATTGGTACAAATGCAGCAAGACTGGCAGAAAACCTGGGATAATTTTAGCCTTAGATGCAAGGTGAGTTTCTTATGATGTTCTTCAAAGTTCAGACAATACATTGCAGGGGGTGAGGGTGCGTCTGGGTATGTCTGAAACTGGTGGGACAGGCCTGATAGAAGTCTATTTGCAAAGGGCCTGAGGCCTGTTCAAGCTCTGTCCACTGCTAAGTTTGATGTCTGGATTTGTCAGGAGAACTGGGTGTGGAGATGAGAAGGACAAAAAGCATGTTTTTTGTAGGTATGAGGCCTGAAGAGCTTCCAGGAGAGGACTCAACCTCAAGGAAGGAGCCATCTGACATAATGAACTTGATCCGGTCGTGAGTCCTTAGAGTTTGGAGGAAGCAGAGATTCTGAGTCTGTGTCTTAGTTCTTAATCAACTCTGTCCCCAACTATAGTGGTTTCTAATGACTACTGTAACAAATTACCACAAACTTCGTGGCTTAAAACAAAATTTATTTTCTTACAGTTCTAGAGGCCAGAGTCTGAGATGAGTTGTACCGGGCTAAAATCAAGATATTGACAGGAACATTCCCTCCAGACACTCTATGGGATAATCTGTTTCCTCTGCCTTTTCCAGCATCCACAGCTGCATTCCTTGGCTCGTGGTCCCTTTATCCTCAAAGCCATCAGCGTAGCATCTTCTTTCTGCGACTCTGCTTCTATCTGCTTCCATCCCATGGCCTGCTTCCCTTCTGTCTTAAATCTCCCTCTGCCCCCTTATAACAACACTCGTCATTGCATTTAGAGAGCACCTGGATAATCTAGATGAGTTTTTCAATGTGGATCCTTCTTGGGGGCTGAGGGACAGAAGACAGAGAGAGAAGGTGGTAGTGTATGGAGAGAAAGATCTACCTGTTGGCCAGAAACCAAATCACTGGAGGGAATTAAATTGTAGGTGTTAAACCTTTTAAATGAGCCCCTCAAGATGATCTTGTGCCCTCACTCAGTAGCCCCACTCTTTGAGCCCATCTAAAATGCCACCAGATGCATGAAGCCTTTCTAGATTCCACCCTCTTCATCCAAATTGTGTGTGATTGTTTCTGCGCTTGGGCCTTATCGTCACTTTCTATAGAACCTTGGAACTCCAGGGCTGAGCAAAACCTTACAGCTCATTCAGTTTAGCTTGTAAGCTGAAATGTCTATGTGATTGTGAATCTATGTGGACACATTCAGTGCTGGGAAACTTTCTGATTTCCTGACATTGTTCCACTTAAATACCTCTTTGGCTATTAAAATTCTTACTCGTATTGAGCAGAAATGTGGCTCTTTCTTTCAACATATGGTGATTAAGTGTCATCCAGGCCACACCCTCTGCTAATGACTGTGGATAAGGAAATACCTTCAGGAACTCACAGTCTAGAATAGGGCTCTGATCTCAAGAGCCCATGGATGGATTTGGGAGGACCCATAGACCCCCGAAATTGGTTGGATGATATTATATATGTGCATTTTTTCTGGGGAGAGGTGGCTTTCATCACGTGCTTAAGAGGCCCATGACCAGAAAGAGAGAATACTGGTCTAGAAATTACCCTTGTGTGATATCCTCCTATTGGCCCTATTTTTACCTTGTGGGGCTATTGCATCTACCCTCTCTTTCATTTGAGAGCCTGAACACAATTTCTCTCCTCTTCAAGGTACACTGCAGCAATTATTGTCAACCCTTGTACACAACATCATGTGAGTCACTGTGCCATTTTAGTCCATCTTCCCAAATACACTTTGGTTTGTCAAAGTCCCAGGGGCAGATTGTATTTTTAAAGGATGGCTGCAGGGGCCAGCCCAGTGGCAATAGCGGTGAAGTTTGCATGCTCTGCTTTGGCGGCCCAGGGTTAGCATGTTTGGATCCCGAGCATGGACCTACACACTGCTCATCAAGCCGTGCTGTGGGGGCATCCTACATGCAAAATAGAGGAAAGTTAGGACAGATGTTAGCTCAGGGACAATCTTCCTCACACTAAAAGAGGAAGATTGGCAACAGATGTTAGCTTAGAGCTAATCTTCCTCACCAAAAAAAAAAAAAAAAAGGCTGTAACAATATCTCCTGTCTCAAGTTCCGCCTGAGCCGTGCTGTCCGATAGAACCTTCTGCAATGATGGAAATAGTCTAAGTCCTCATTAGTGACTTTTGAGTGACTATTGAGCACTTGAAATGTGGCTAGTATGACTGAGGAACTGAATTTTTAATTTCATTAAATTTTAATTAAAGAGTAAACAACCATGTGTGGCTAGTGGCTACTGGATTGCTCAGCATTGCTCTAGAACCTTGTTTTCCCCATCAGGAAGTAGAATTATTTCTCCTCTGCTTGCATCTAGGTAGGTTTGTAACTGGCTTGTAACCAATAGAATATGGCAGAAGTGATGCTGCATGACTTCTGAGGCTAGATTAGAAGAATATGATGCAACTTCCAACTTAACAATTTACCTCTCGTGATCTGGTCTCTGGCTGGCTGGAAGATACTTCCCTGCTTATCCCCCCATCCCATTCTCTCCCCACCTGTCTGCCATTTCCCAACTCCTAAAAAAGATCCAGGACAAAATGTGGAAGCAACCAAGACGTCCTTCAGTAGGTACAAGGATTAATAAACTGTAGTACATCTAGAAAATGGAATATTATTTCAGTGCGTAAAAGCAATGAGCTAATTGAGCCATGAAAAGACATGGAGGAAATTGAAATGCGTATTACTAAGTGAAAGAAGCCAGTCTGAAAAGGCTACATACTGTAGTTGATTCCAACTATATAACATTCTGGAAAAGGCAAAACTATGGAGACAGTAAAAAGATCAGGGTTGCCAGGGCTTAGGAGGGAGGGATGAATAGGTGGAGCATAGAGCTTTTTTTATTTGTGAGGAAGATTAGCCCTGAGCTAACATCTGTTGCCAATCCTCCTCTTTTTGCTGAGGAAGACTGGCCCTGGGCTAACATATGTGCCCATCTTCCTCTACTTTATATGTGGGATGCCTGTGTCAGCATGGCTTGATAAGTGGTGCACAGGTCCACGCCTGGGATCTGAACCCACAAACGCCAGGCCACCAAAGCAGAGCACACGAATTTAACCAATATGCCACCAAGCCGGCCCCCCGGAGCATAGAGCATTTTTAGGCAATGAAACTATTCTGTATGCTAGTACCTGCCATTATATATTTGTCCAAATCCATAGAATGTACAACACCAAGAATGAACCCTATTGTAAACTATGGACTCTGGGTGATAATGATGTGTCAATGTAGGTTCATCAGTTGTAACAAATGTACCACTCTGGTAGGGGATGTTGATAGTGGAGAAGGCTGTGCATGTATGGGGGCAGGGAGTACATGGAAAATCTCTGTACCTTCCCCTTAATTTTTCTGTGAACCTAAAACTGCTCTAAAAAATAGTTTTAATTAAAAAAAAAAAAATCCCTGATGGGATTTCTAGCCATATGCCCATTGCTTCTCTCTCTTGTAATAGGAGCCTCAAATATCTAGCCCTCTATGCTTATTCCATCAGTAGCTGTGGACTCTCTTTGCAAATTTAGGCATTTTAATTAATCAATGAAATAAAAAGTCTTAGAAAATATTGTTTCAATTCCTATAGTTTCTCCCTTTTTGGACCTTGTTCAGAATATTCTCCATTTGCCTCTCCAGACCCACTCCCTGACTCTCCCCATCCTGCTCTGAGGACCAGGAGGTTAATCTCTACCAACTGCTTTGATGGCATCACCCTTGTCTCTGGTTTCCAAATGGATCTGGCCAGTAAGAGGCACAGGCAGGAGATCAGAGAGCAGGAGGAGAGATAAGTCAGAGTATTTATTCCTCCTACTCCCTGTTTTGCTATGATTCTGGCAATGACTGCCCTTCTACAACTATAGCTGTTGTTATATGGCCCCTCTGCCATGAGTCCACCTCTC